GATAAGAGGCATAAAAGCTAAAGAGGATCTAAAGTTGGTGCATACAGATGTATGTGGTCCTATAAATGGGATTATACCCTAAACTTGCGCACCAGACACACCATACAAAATGGTGTTATAGAAAGAATGAATAGATCTTTACTGGACATGGTAAGAATGATGATCAGTTATTCAAGTCTACCAGTATTCTTTTGGGGTTCTATCTAAAGCAGTTCCAAACACTCCCAAGGAATTGTATACCAAGTGTAAGCCTAGTTTACAAAATTAATGTAAGTGGGAGTGTCTTGCACTTGTGTGGAAGGAAAAGCTTGAGAACATAGGATCAAGATTAGATGTTTGTCTATTTGTGGGCTACCCAAATGGTACAAAGGGTTATTCATTTTATGATCCTAAGGAGAAAAAAGTGTTCATTAGCACGAATGCTACTTTTCTCGAGGAGGATTATATAATGAATGACCATCCTCGAAGCATGGTTGTTTTAGAGGAAATGATAAATACATTAATCAATCCAAGAGTGGATATGACAGTTATGGATGACGAGACATCAGAAACTACGAATCCAGAATCTCTTATTATATCGGAACCTTAACGTAGTGGGAGGGTTATCAGGCTATTTGATAGGTTAATGCTCTTGGGAAAGTGTGACGAGGTGATCCCAGAAGAGCAAGATCCCTCTATACTTATAAAAAGGTTACGAATGATTGTGACTCATGGTCAAATCATTTGAACATGATTAGAATCTGAATGGGCCTTGTGTATACAAGAAGAGTGATGGAAGTGTGGTTGTGTTTTAAAGAGATAGTTCAGCATGGAGATATTGTTGTCACTAAGATTGCATCTACAAATATCCTTGCAGATCCTTTCACTAAGACTCTACCTACTAGGGTTTTTGAGTCTCATATTGAAAGGATGGGTGTTAGATGTAATGGTAATTAGCTTTGAGTGCAATTGGGAGATTGTTGGGATTATATGGCCTACAAACCAATTATTTATTATTAATTCGATATTTTATTAATGAATGTGATATTCATGCATTGGGTTTTACATATTTTTGCATGAGATGCATTATAGTCCTCAAGTTGCATTCTAGGTGACTTAAGTGTGCAAATGAGATTTATACGCAGGAGATTTAGGCTCACCGGCTTCTTGCACTTTGGTATTGTTTGCAGTCAGCAATAAAAGTTGGGTACTTTTATCTATAAGACTGTAACATACTTGACCTCTATAAGATAGGATGGTTTGTCTTGACCATTAAGGTAGTTGACTCTAAGGCAGTGTGTTAGTGTTCTTGGAGTACACTGAACTGGATCATCATAAGATCACACCATATAATGTACTGTCATTATTTTGGTGTGTATCTTATCTACTAAATTCATAGGCTCTAAATTATAAGGTATTTAGAACTCAAGTTTCAGTATTAATCACATTGACTTACCAATGTGTGAGATCTTTTTAAGGTCAATACTACGGTATCTTGGGTGACTAATGTTGGAGCTCTGGGAACGAAAATGCTCAACATGAAATCCACTCTTTATAAAAGTTAGAATATCCCCTTGATGTAATTTAATAAGTTTGATCACTGGAACCTGGCCAAGGCATTTTATTAAAATATTTACTAAATTATTTTTCTATTATTTATTTAGAAAAATATTTATTTTGAAAAATCCTTTTATAAAAGAATTTAATTGAGTGATTATAAAAATTAAATTGGTTACTCAAGGAATATAAAATATAAGTAAGCCTTAAGTGGGACGGTATATTTTTTACCTAGGGCTACTTATGGATATTCGGTAGTGAGTGGCTTATATGTAATTATTTAGTAGATAGGTCCTTGTTGTAATTTCTAAATCCTAAAGTGCAATTACAATACTATTGTGATACTTATTGTAATTAATTGGATAGGATAAAGTTATGTCTCTATCCAATTGGAGTTAGAATAAGGAAGCCCTTTTGGATTCTCATCTCTAGCCCCAGATAATATACCCGCCTCTCAGGTCATATATTCTTATATATGGCGATACAAAATATATTCTTGTACACTATCTAGAATGCAGATAGTGAGAGAAAAGGTTAGGGTTCCGCAATCCTACATTGGAGTCATAAAGGTAAAGACTCATTGGTATTCAAGACCAAAGGAAAAAGTGTTGATCAGAGTTCAAAGACAAAGAATAGTGTTATTGAATTCGATGATTATTCAATCGTCCAAAGGTAAGAGATCCTTTTATAGTATTTCTTGATTTGATGAAAAATCACGTGAATATGATCCAGAAAATTTATTAAATGCTTCCGTTGTCCTACATTTTCCGGATTAAATCTCTTATCCATCACTATATTTGTAACGAGCTGCTGGATCATTATAGCTTTTTCTCATCTTTATCAGTCATGACCTCCTCAAATGTGGAGATCTTGGCAACATATATAAAACATTACACAGTGCACGTACTTATTATGCTTGAGTGGAAAAAGCAAAGAAAGCTCATTTGAGATGCAAAGAATAGTATAACATGCACCAATAACTCTCTCCTATGACCAGAAGATGATTTTATTGCATAAAATATTCACTACATGCAACACAGTTAGTGATATATATATATATATATATATATGGTGTAAGATTTATTTAGGCATCACCAGGGTTGATGGGGTTGATCTTGGGCTTGTTTTTCTCCTTGTTGCGAGCAACAGAATTCACCACTTTCTCAGCAACCATTGTCATCACCCGCTTTCTCTCTGCAGGAATCAAGCTCTCATTCTTAAAATATTTCGACATCAGCTCAGGCACTTAGATATGATCACAAGAGACATCTAAGTTAAAATGTGAACGAGTTGGGACCCTCTGGGTATAGTACTTGTGTTTAGTATTGCACTTCTGTTGTACCGCATTTAGCAAATGTATGTACTTGTGCGAATCAACTTTATTCTCCTATTGTTTGATGATCTCATTCACTTTAGTGAATTATATTCCCTTGTCAACGATTCCTTTTTAGCTAGCCTGTCCTCCGCCAACCAAACCAACGTGTCCTTTGTCACCCCTACATCTTCATTCTTCAACCACAACCATGATTTACAAAATGCAACTCATTAACAAAATTATTAGTTTAACCCCTTATTAATAAAAGTAGGGTGACAAAATGGTTCATAACTCGCCAACTCGAACTATCTCCCTCTCTCTCCCGCTAGTCACAAAATTTAGTTCTAAGCTTGAATGGTTAGAACCCAAACATTAAAATTTGGATATCATAAAAATTCTCGCTATAATATCTTAGAACTCAAAATTTTGGTTCTAAACTCAAACAGTTTAAATCCAAACATTAAGATTCATATTATATTTTAAAGTTTGTAAAAAATTTAGATTCAAAGATCGAATGGTTAGAACTCAAAACATTTATTCAAACATAAAATTTCAAAGACTTTTAAATTATAGTGCCATCACTTTTTCACTACACAAACAATTTTAAATTTTCATTTAGGATTATTTTTTATTTAATGATAAAAGCTTTATAATTATGTCCTATTCTGAATTTCACCCAGGCCAATTGTGAACACGCGTGCAAAAAAATTTATATCTTTCTCGCAAGAAACTCACACTCCACATGCTCTTAAGAGTAGGGCATTTTTGTATTATCTTTGACATTTTATTTTAAACAGGTTGGCGGGAATAGGTGATGGATTATGGACAGGAACAGATAAAAGAGTTTGTGTCCGAGTGTGGGATACAGCTCTCTCTGTGTGTATGTGCCTGAGAACTCAATTTAAAAAAAAAAAAAAAAAAAAAAAAAAAAAAAGAACTAACTACATTTCTATTATCGTGTTTGTTAATTTGGTCAAATTAATTCAAGACCCTTTAAATTTTGTGTGGCCTAGTGTGGGGGCATGTGGATGAAAACATATTAATAATTTTAAGACCAAACCTTTTGGGCCTAATTCTCCTTGTTCCTCATCTAATGGGCTGTTGTTATTGGGCCTTTTGTGCTCATTTTGCCGAGGTAGACCTGTATTGGATCTTGAAACACTTGTCGGGCTTCCACTTTGGGCTATTCTGTCTACCCTTTTTTTTTAAAAGTGTATATATGTAGTATATATGTAGCCAAAAAGACATTCTTAAACCCACTCACTACAAGAAAAACTGTTTTTTAGAATGCCTTTTTTATCACGGTTTTAAAATAACCATGGTAGAAAGTGTCTTTTACCACAGTTTTAACAAAATCGTTTTTTACCACGGTTAATGAAAAACCGTGGAAGTAACTATACTTTCTACCACGGTTATAATAGAACCGTGGTAAAAAGTGAATTTGTTTTACTTAAATTTAGGGCATATTTATTCAGACTTTTATACCGCTCTTTCTATCACGGTTTTTCATTAACCATGGTAGTAAGTTATTCTACCACCGGTTCAGGCACCGTGGTAGAAAATGAATTTGGATTAAGACTATACGCGGGTCTCATTCCCGCTGCTTTCTTAAAATTTTAGGGCAAATCATTTTAGGCCACACATGCTAGGGCAAATCATTTCTGCCTCCCAAATCGCCTCCATCTCTATTCTCGTTCTCAACTCTGAACTTGCCCTCTCTCTGTCTCTGCAACTACAAAATCTACAATAATCTGAACCCATATCGGCATATCATTTCAGATTGTTCAAAAAATCAAAACCCATATCCTTCAGTTTCCATAGCCCGCTGTTCCAGTTCGGGTTCGCCGTTCGAAAGCTTCAGCTTCAGGCCCGTTATCTCTCAACTCTCAAGCCCTCTCTACTCTCTCATAAGGATGACGTTGAGTAACGACTTGAAGAACAGCAATCGACCAAAATTACAGAACTCTACAGGTAAATTTGGTTGTATACTATGTAATGCGGAAAATGAAACAGGTATGTGCTTGTTTGCAATATTGCATTTTTGTGTTGTTTGTATAGAAGGAAATTAACATTCTTTTTGGTATTTATACTGCATTTTTTAATGTGGATCCTGAATTCCTATCGTTTTTCTTTTTGATGTTTCACAGGACCAAGGTTTAGATGTGATGGCAGAAGGTCTAGACACGTTAAAAAGCATGGCCCAGGATATGAATGAGGTTCAATGTCTTTTCCTTTATTTTCTGTTTCCTTACAATTACATCATGTTGGATCATTATGTTATGCAATGGTTGCAGGAAATGGATAAGCAAGTCCCTCTGATGGATGAGATAGACACTAAGGTCAGAAATTTGTTCTTTTCTTGAAAGTTTTTGAAGCTGCAACGATTTTTAAAAAATTCACAGTGCTTTTCTTCTTATCTGACAGCTGGACAGGGCAACATCTAACCTTAAGAATACCAACGCTAGACTCAAGGACACTGTTAATCAGGTACTTATGTTGCAACTATGTTTAATTTAAATTTCCATCTATATTCAGCTGTGCTCTGTTGTGGATTCCTTTCCTGGATTTAACAAGAAGTTCTATAATTTTGTTCCAGCTGAGGTCAAGTCGAAATTTCTGCATTGATATTATTCTGTTGTGTATAATTCTGGGAATTGCAGCCTATTTATACAAGTAAGTTTTTCTTTCTCCATCAATGGAAGGAAAAGATATGATTTTGCAAAAAACTGACCTGCTTAGAGAAATTTAGTAGAAAATCTTGTGCATGGAAGGGTGAATTAATGAGCACTAGCAAATCATCTGACTTGGGAAGATGGCAACTAGTAGCTTAACTGGTGGTAACTTGGTAAGCTAGGAAACAAGGACTTGGACACGGATATGAAAATAGATCAAGTATGATATGGCAAATCTCAAAAAAACATAGGACATGGATCCAGTATGATGTCTAAAAACAATAACATAATATATTATTATATATATATATATGTAAATAATAATTTTTGCTCATTTTACCCATATAATTATGAATGATTCACTAATTTGGAGCTTAGGGTTAGATGTCTGGATGGTAAGGCATGTTGGTTGACAGGTTTTAGTCTTCGAAGTTTGAGCTTGTCCTAGTTCCCATCCCTGATTGCCCATCCACCGCCACCACCCCCTGCCCCCCAAAAGTAAAAATATAGAAAAGAAGAACTTCCCATGTTTTCCTAAATCCTAAAACCTTGTTTATTCCTCCTAGACCAACAGTGAACAATTTGGTCCAAGAACTTACTACACCATATTCTTTCATCACCCATATGCAACAACTCTTACTTGTCATCCACATTAACTCCTCCTCACCATAGTGGAACAGAGAGAGAGATTCTCCAAAACGTGCAACGGACAACTTCAGCTGACGGCCATTAGAAATGCTGCTCGGAAGCATTATCTCCTTGAAAACCTCACTGCCTCATCCAGAGAGGAAAAAAATAGTGATATGCATTATTAGCAATGCAAATGCAATACACATTATGTATTAGACAAAGTAGTGAAATCCATCAACCATGGCATTAACCTAACAACCACCAACAGAAGCCACAAAATTTAAAGATCCTGGCAGTTAAAACTTCATAAAATTCATGTTTATATTCTATCTAAAACACCCACCAAGAATAATTGAAATTTAGAATTCAAAAACTTGTAAATCCTATGAAAAATTAATTAAGTTTCCTAGCTATGTATGTTTGTTGCTCAGCAACCAAAAGAGAAGAAAAATGAAAACACAACGTGAATTTTATAGAATTCAAACCTCAAACCAGAGCTAGGGTTCCAACACCTGGCTTAATAAAATATGGGTCCTCCTAGTTATGTGCACGGCTTAGGGAAGCCAAACATAAATATTTAATTAACTAAAATAATATATATGTTCTGAAAGAAAGAAAGAAAATCAGTCTTCTTCATTTCAAATGTTTGAATATGGTGTCATGATTTCTTTTGGTGACGGGATGTCAATGACCCAAGATATTGAGTTAATTCGAAGAGTAGATCTTTCAATGTACTTTATTATAATGCTTGCTTTGCTTGGTTTAATTTTGACAACTTTACAACTTGCTTTATATTCTCTGACTTCAACTATTATATCTTTCTAGGTCAAAACTAAGATTGCGGTTGCCGTTACTTTTTTTGTTGCCATTATATTTTTTGTATGGCTCATGAAGAAGTTGCATATATGAAATGGAAGAGAGAGCTAATTTTTGGTATGGCATTAGAAGCTAGAATTTTGTATATGGTTAATTTTTGTATAAAATAATGATTTAGAACTGGTTATATATATATATATATGATGTTATTGGTTAGTTGTAAGTTATTTTGGTTATGATGCTATTTTTAATTTATGTAGTGTAGGCTTCTGGAGTCCTTGCAAGGCTAATAGTAGGGAAAAAAAAGGCCTCGTGGGGGCTGCACTATTTTTTTATTATAAATTATATAACACTTTCTACCACGGTTTTGAACCGTGGTAGAAAGCCCTTTTTCAACCACGGTGCAAAACCGTAGTAGAAAGTCGAGACTTTCTACCACGGCTGTTGGAACTGTGGTAGAAAGCCTTTTCCACCGTGGTAAAAAGTCATTTTTCTTGTAGTGACTTGTCCATGTGAGACTCAAAACATTAATTTTTTTTTTTTTTCCCTCTCCAAATTAAAGAAATATCTTGACATGATCTTTTCCAAAAATTTTGCTCAAGCTAATGCAAGTATTCTCATGTCCTTAAATGCTGGAAATTTTGTTTTTAAATTAAAGCATCATTGATTATGATTTAATTTCTAGTTTCAATTTCAAAAGGACCAAACTGAACAGTTAGTAATAAATAAATAAATAAATATATATATATATATATATATATATATATATATCAGAAAGTTTTAAATTCCATAATTTCAAAAGGACCAAACTGAAGTGGAGATTGTTTTTACAATTTTTTCATGAAAATTATGTGGTGACACCGACATGCAAGAGAGAGGTGGATGTTTAATTTTATACTTTTTAATTCTTTGTCAATCCATTCGATTGAGAACTTGATACACTATTTAATTTTAATTAATCTTCTAGCGATGCAAATCAATTATATTAGTACTACTTTGTACAAAAATGGTGTAAAAAGAATCAGTGAGTACAAACGCGTGGGTTGTTAAATTTGTAATTCCAAACGCTTAGAAATAGTTTGTTTTCTGTGTTTATGATGTATATAAATATAATCTATTTAAATTTAAAAACAATAATAATTACCTTCCAAAAAAAAAATTAGAGCTTATTTGTCCTTAAAAAAAAAAAAAAAAAAGAGTAGGACTTGGTAGTAATTTTTCCTTGCAAGATATTTAGTACTCCCTAATCCATTTTAAGTGTACTTTTTTGGAACCAACATTTTTAAGATGTGACTTCTAGTTCAATAAGAAAAAAGGCAAATTGAGAATACCCAATTTAGTGGTACCAGACTCTTTTTTAACGTGTTTCATACTACGGAGTATTTATTTATAATAAAGTTTGTGCATGCGTGGAGTGTGGGCTAACTATTTGTGTGAATGAAACTACCTTTGTGTTGTCATGTGTAAACATTGGTCAAATTACTTAAAAGAGCTCTTAATTTTGTGCTGAGCGTGGGGGTATGTATGTGGTTGAACTGAAACAAAATATTTACAAGAGACATACACGAAGGATTAATAATAAAAATAATACTAATACATGAAAACACCTAGTAACCAAGGTAGACATGGTAGAGAAAATTCCTAACAAATCACTTAGAAAGTTCTTTCATAATTTTCAATTAATTTCTCCACAAGTTAAACTTCTTAACTTGTAGAGAAATTTTGTTTTGCATAAAGTGTAAAAGACATAAATCGAGCAAAATTAACATGAAGTAATAAAAAATAATTTTAAAAAATAAAAAGTAAAAAAACTACCTTTGTGTTGTCATGTGTAAGAATGTGTTAGTGTGTGGGTCTATGTGGAGGAACTCAACTAAAAATTTAAGAGACACACTAAGGGTGAAAATATTAATAATAATAATAACACAATATAATCGTGCCCCACATAGGTTTACGTGAAAACTCCTACCAATTAAGGTAGACGGTAGAGAAAATACCTAAAAAGACTTTGAAAGTCATCCTATGATTTTTAGTTAATTTCTGGATAAGTTAACTTGTAGAGGAAGATTGTTTTAAAGTGTGAAAAAAAAAATTCATAAAACTTACATAGAATGAAGTGATGAGAAATGATTTAAAAAAAAAATTATATTCAGTAGAGGGAATGATTTATGATAAAAATAAAAAATAAATAAATAAAAGATTAATTATATAAAAGCAAAAATGATGAAGAAGAAAAGAAGTTGTAAAATCAAATTTCTTGTATATACCCATGTATAAACTTTATTTTATGTTTTCATATTCATTAGTTGGCAAATTTATTTAAGATGAAACACATTTTTAAGAATGTGAGTTGCTCAAAAACATTGATTTTTTTAGATAACATGTGTGGTTTTGTTGTACCTTATGTTATAAAAAAAAAAAATTCCTCTCTTTAAATGAATGTCTTGCATGTAATTTTAGTACAACTTTTATCATATTTAATTTGCTAGATCCATGGGTTATTAATGTTGGACTATCCTTTATAAATGATTGATTGCAGGACTAAATAATGACTTCATTAACAAAGTTGTAGTTAACCCACGTACAGTAGAAATAAATAATGGCTCAAGGCATTTTTGACATTAATAATACTAGTGAGTCTTTAATAAATAAAGTAGGTTAATGATTGATGTGAAGCGTGCTCAAAAAAAAAAAAAAAAAAAGATTGATATGAAGCTGCAATTTTAGAAAGTTACATAAGCATCACCATAACATTACCTATTACTAAGGGCGGATTCAGCATTTCTGATTTTATTTATTTATTTTTTTTTTTTTTGGAGTGGGCTGAAGCCCACCTTTGGATCCGCTTGTGCCCATTACTCTCCATTTATTGATCAAGTCTTATAAGATCATCCCATGGGACTAGGATCTCAGCCGTAAATAAGTCTTGTTGTACCCATGTTGTAATACAAATAATATTGTTTAAGGTAAGTTAAAAAAAAAAAAAAAATTTAAGAGTGAAACGGAGCGACTAACTACCTTAATGGTGAATTATTAAAAAAATTAAAATAAAAATATAAAACGTTAAAAACATTCACCTATTAGCGTTATAATTTGTTAAGATACATCTGTTTATAATTTTATATATCCTTTCCCATGCTCATGCCAGATATTGGTTTTGGTGGTGCAATCCCCAGAAAGAACATGAAAAAGATATTTATGAGCAACATGTAACAATAACAAATCCACTAACAGAGTTCAAAATCATTAACAAATTTTTAGAATATAAGACATCAAACACTTTAACTCCATATGATAAATAAATTACTAAAATTGAATACAATTAAATCGATTGGTTCAATATCTTCTATTTTAATTGTATTCCAATAACGTTTTTAAATATTCTATTTTGGTTTTATTTCAGAAAAGTGTTGAGAACAAGATTAAAGGTGTTAAAAACAAGATTAAAAAGTGTTGAGGTAAAGATTAAAAGGCTTTGAGGTAAAGATTAAGGGTGTTGATAACATGATCAAAATGTGTTAAGAATAAGATTAAATGGCGTTGAGATAAAGATTAAAAGGTGTTGAGGTAAAGATTAAAGGCGTT